AGGCAGAACTCTCCTGTTTCACCTGCTGCTCCCCTCAGCGATGCTTTTGGTCTATCTATTCTGCTTCCCGCTCTGCTGAATCCTATTACCCTCCCGCCACTCTGGCCTGTACCCCAGCTCTTGTATAAATAAAAATAAAATCTTTAAAAAAAAAGTCTCCATAATACATAAAATTCCCTTTTCTCCCTAAAATACAAATGGACTATTGTAATTTCCCTACAAAAACCTTTTGGTAGCTTCCCTAGCTACCATGGAATAGAGTTGGAGAAGCAAAGAGGGCTCTTTTAACTCTGTAGTTTATCTCTTCACTGATCCCTCAAAAGTTTTGTTTCAGCATTTTTTTTTTTTTTTTTTTTTTTTTTACTCCTCATAGTTCTTCCCAAATGGGGCATACCTCTGTGCCTTTGCATTGAATGCATCTTCTGCCTGGAATGTTCTAACTTCTCCACCCTACCCCCAAGTCACTTACTCCTTTTGAATCACTTGTGCCCTATTAACATACACTTTTCTAGTGCAGCCTTCATCCCAGGATTGGAATTCATTACAAGTTGGCCAGTCTCACCAAGTTGTGAATTCTCTTGGGCAGAAACCACATCTTGCTTATCCTTTCATTTGTGGCACCCAGCACCATGCCTGGCACACAGTAGCAACTCAGTCCATGTTTACTACCATGCAGGTAGCACAAACATACATCCTTTTTTTTGTTTTAAAGATTTGTTTATTTTTGCATACAATAGCTGGGATACAGGCCAGAGATGTGGGGGGGGTGAGAGGATTCACCAGAGACAGAGTGGGGAATAGAACAGGCAGACCAACTGAAATACTGCAGAGGGGAGCAGTGGGTGAGACAGGAGAGGTCTGCTTTGCCATGTGGGATGCTCTCTGGCCAGCAGGGTATCAAACTTGTGCTGCAGAGGCTGTAGATTGCTTCATAGAGTGGCTCTCAACCCCTTGCGCCACCAGGGAGGCCCCCAAACATACATCCTTAATGCCCCTGTTAATCTCAAATCATACTGCTTCCTTCAGGATGTCATGTTGAAACAATCAAAGGACACTGAAAGTTCTTCTCAACTTGAAACTCCAATACTAATGCCAACCATTAACATTAGCATATCTACCCAAGTTGGACTGACATCTAGCATCTATGGCCAAACCAGGTAGAGAATTCACTTATTTCTATTGCCCACCTCTCCTCCTGCTTTTGGTGGCTAACTTCTAAAGGTAAGATGGTCCAGGTCAATTACCCTCTGTAAGCACTTGGTCAGGATTTTCCAGTCAGTCATGATTTCAATATATATTTTTTAAAGATTTTATTTATACAAGCACTGGGCACAGTCAGAAGCGTGGGAGGGTGAGAGAATTCACCAGAGCCAGAGTGGGAAGCAGAACAGGCAGATGATGACATACACTGCTGAGGGGAGCAGCGGGTGCGGCAGGAGAGGTCTGTCACACCATGTGGGACCCTTGCCGGCGACCAGGGATCAAACCAGCGCTGTAGAGGCTGCAGACAGCTTCGCAGCACAGCCGCTGGGCCACCAGGGGAGGCCCATGACTTTAATACTTAAAAAAAAAAAATTATTTATTTATGCATAGAAGAACTGGGGTGTAGGCCAGAGGTGCAGGGGGTGAGAGGATTCACCAGAGACAGAGTGGGGAGCAGAATACGCAGATTTACTGAAATACACTGCTGAGGGGGGCAGCAGGCAACACAGGAGAGGTCTGCTGTGCCATATGTGGGTCAGCTCCCTGGCCTGGGATCCAACTCAGGCCTCAGCGGTGATAGCACTGAGACTTAAGCCCTGGGCCACCAGGGAGTCCTGGCTTCAGTACCTGTACGTACTCCGGGTAGTGTGGCAAGCAGAACAGTCTTTTCTCATTCAGTTGCCCAGGCCATGAAACCCTGGAGTCATCTTTGACTTTTCTTCCTCATATTGCATCCATTCATCAGCAAATTCTGTTAGCACCATCTTCTGAATAGATATAGAATTCCACCATTTCTCCACTGCTTTGGACCTACTCCAAGTCACCACCATGTCTTATTTGGATTATGGCAACAGTATGTTACTAGGTCCTTCTGTGTCTGCTGCTGCCTAATAGTCTATTCTCTATACACTAGCCAAAGTGACCCTTTTGTAGGTCTTACAAAGTCCCACATGATCTGGCTTCCTTCTTCCCCTGTAACCTTGTCTCTTACATGTTCTTCCCTTCATTCACACCAGTCTAGGCAGTTGGTTTCTTTGTTGTCCCTTGACCATACTTCTGCCTCAGTGCCTTTGCACTTGCTATTTCCTGTGTCCAGAATGTTCTCATCCCAGGTCTGCCTCACTTTGGTCTCTGCTTAAATGACACCTTATCAGTGAGGCCTTCCCTAGTCACCCTACATAAAAAGCAGCCACCATCTCCGAGTCACCCATTGTTCTCCTATTACCTTGCTTTATTTTTCTCTGCTTCACTGCTTTATTTCCAGGGTGAAGAATAGTACATAGCAGGCATTTAATAAATATTTGTTCAGTGAATGTAGACATAAAAACAAACTGAAAAGCTGACTTATAAAAAATGCTCCTGAGTCACCTTTCAATCTTACTTGGAGCTGGTGTCCACCCTGTAAATTACTCTCTCTACCTGGGGCACCTTAGCACTAATACATACATACACACATTTCTGCTCAGTCACATCCATTCACTGTGGCTCAGACAGGAAATCCAGCCTCTCCTAATCCTTCATCATTACTCTATCCTCACTTAGTTCCAGTGTCCAACTGTCCTGGGATTGCTCCAGATGGGTGACCTTACATTTAAATAGGGCCCCTTTGTGAGTCCAGCTTTACTTTCTCAAGGACTTCCTGACGTTGACTCCATCAGATAGCCCAGTGAATATGGGAACCACTTGGTGTTTCTCTTCCTTCTCAAAAATCCTTGTTCTCCTTGTCTTCAGTGCCACTCCTTGTAAAACCTACTCCCCTACTACATCTTATGGCCCACCAGACACTCCAGCGACTAAGGAATTTCTGCTTATCAGAATCCAATGGACAGGGAGGCAGGGAAGGAGGGAGAAAGGCTAGGTAAGGCAGGAGGAGAAGGAAGTCAGACAAACTGGTTGTAGGGAACAGAAAGGTTACTTGTAAAATGGCATCCCTTCAATTACTCTAGTAGAAGGCTGCATATATTGTGTGCCTCTGGGGACTATAAAAATGAGCTCATGCATCTCCTTCCACCTGTTCAAGGATTTCTTTTCAATCTGAGACAAAGCACAGGTTTGGAGCTTTGTCTCATATATGAAAGCAAAGTTGTAATTTGTAAATTCTGCTAGAAGAGGTAACACGTTGCTTCAAAATCTTGCAGAGGTAAAAATGTCTATTTATTAAGTTTTGGAAGAAAAGAGCTGTAGTCACCTAAAAACAGTAGGTAGGGGTTACCACATACTGGAAAAAGAATAAAGGAGATTAGAAGCAGAGTTTTATCTCCTATCCAACTCGGTTGAAGGTTGGACATGACAATAAGAAAGAGCTGGAAGGTGAGGGACCACACTTAGGTCTGGGCCACAGAACTCTCACTGGGATAATTCTTGATCACTTCTGTTTGGGGCAAGAGGGAATGGGACACCAGCATGGTGTAATGTCAAGAAATAGAACATCTGGAAGAATAACTTAAAAGATTTTACTAAGTCTCCTCCCCAGAAATACCAATGAAAAACAGATTTTAATTCTTTATCTTTTCCAGTCTGTGACTTCTAAATTATCTGTCTCTGTTCCCCTGTTATCTCCACTACGGTTTTGTGCTCTTTAATAAAGATCAAGCCCAAAGAAAACTGATAAGCCCTGCTCCCAGTAATTTTTCCAGAGTCACCAAGGACCCCCTCCTCCTTCTCCCCCAGGAACTATTGGGTTCTCACAGCACTAACATGGCTAGCAGCCAGAGTAAAGAACCAGAGAAAGCTAGAGTTTGCATGAATCTGGTTTAAAGTCCATCCTAGAGAGTCCAAATCCCTGACACCCGGGGGGTGGGTCCTTTTCTCCAGAAGAGCCAGATTTTATGCAAGACATTTAGTATGTCAAAGTATCAGTCTTTGACCTTGGAGTCAGGTCTCCTGGGTCTGTTTGCAGCTCTGCTCTGGGTGATCTTGGTTACTGGAGTTCTCCACCTCTTTCTTCTCCCAAACTTTAGACCCTTGACCTACCCACCCGATTAGAGGCAAAAAAAGATCAGTGCACAAGTGGGAGCTCTTGAGGACACAGGAGTTCGAGAACAGAGGAGACTGGCACAAAGCTAAGTGATTTCAGAGCTACAGGCTTTCCCTTGTCTGACCCTTCCAGGCCTGAGGGTCCCGTCGCCTCGCCAACGCCAGGCGTTCCAGCTTGGCCGAGGAGCGCCATCTGGCGGCCAGTCCTCCCAGGCTGGCTCTCTCTGCCCCGCCCGAGTCCTGGAAGCCAGGGCTAGACCTGAGCAGCAGCGCAGCCACCTCCTCCTGCCCGCACGTCACTCCGAGGACCCCGCCTGCGCGTGGAACGCTCCTCCTCCCGCAGAGACTGGCCCCGGCGCCTCCCCCGCAGAGCTGCGCCTTTCCTCCCTCTTGGTAGAAAATCTGCTTAAGCTCCCCGCAGGGATCCGCCCCACCCCGTCGCCCACAGGGAGGGAGCCCGCCCCCGTACCCTGGGAATCGGCCCCCAGGCCCGCTTCCTCCTCCCGAGGGAGCGCGCCGCCCGCCCCGCCTGGACGCGCCGCGGCATGGACGCCTCCGTTCCTCCCCCACGGCCATGCAGGGAGCCGCTTCCGGTCCACAGACCCAAATCCAGGTTCCTCCAGGGGCCTCCCCGAGGACCCCGCGCCCCGGCCTCGGCGGGCCCGCGCCCTGCCCCCCCCTCCCCGCGCCCGGCCGCCCCCGGGAGCCGGCCCGGCCGCCTCCCCGCGCCCGCCGGTGGGCGGGGCGCCGCGGGCCCGCCCGGGTGGGCAGGCCCATCGTGACGTCACTTCCGTCCGGGCCTGGCCGAGCTTCGGGCTCCGCGGGCCGAGGGGGGGCACGGAGGTGGCAGCTGTGGGAGGAGGCGGCGCGCGAGGTCGAGGAGCTCCAGCCCCGACCAATCCCGCGTCCCGGGCCGCAACCCCTGCTCCTGCAGCGCACCGGAGGCGAGACCGGCCGGATGGGCCGCTGAGCCCGAGTCGGGGACCGGTGAGGCGCGAGCAGAGCGGACAGCCGGGCGGGAGCGGGCCGCGGGGCTGCAGCGTCCGGGAGCCGGGGATGCCGGGAGGGGAGGCGGGCGGGCCCGCCGCTCCGGCCCGCGGGGCTGGGGGCCGGCGCTCGGGACGCCGGCGGCCGGCGCGGAGGGGGATGGTGAGGCCCCCCGGGGGAGGCCCGGTGGCGCCGGGGGTGAGGAGGGGGCGGGGTGGCTGGGGTCATTAATGGGGCGGAGGGCCCGCACTTGGGATTCGCCCCCGGAACCGTGACGTCGGGGAGGGGGAGGTCGGCTGCTGACCTGGGGGCTTCGGAGAAAGGGTGGCTCTGAGTTGGGGAGGCTGAGAACTGAGAGACTGGGAAATTTTTTCCTTGGCCCTCTTGGAGGTTGAAGAGCTGTTCTCTTTCGAGGGGAGTGTTGAACACCTGGAGAAGGGTCTGTCTGGAGTTTGGGGGCGTCAGGTACAATATTTGGAAGGGACACTGCTCCAAGAGTCCCGACACGGAGCGGGTGTGCAAAAAGCCCGGCTGCCTCCAAGGCTCTGAGCCTCCACGTCTTTCCAGTGTGGAGCCCCCTGGAGCTAAACTCAGGATGTTTCGCTTCATGAGGGACGTGGAGCCCGAGGATCCCATGTTCCTGATGTGAGTACTCCCTCCCCCTCATGCTCTAGAGCATATTCATCCCACTCTACTTTGGGTCTGGGAGTAGCTCAGACAGACAGCTGGCGCTGGTTGGAACTGGCTGGATCCTGGGCTCCAGCTTGCACTTACCGGGGAAGTAGACTTCTGTGCCATTGTTTTGCTAGGACTTTGCCTGCTCGGCCCTTCTGCCATCCATACTGTTTTCCTCACTCCACAGGGACCCCTTTGCTATTCACCGTCAGCATATGAACCGTATGTTGTCAGGTGGCTTTGGATACAGCCCCTTCCTCAGCATCACAGATGGCAACATGCCAGGGACCAGGCCTGCCAGCCGCAGGATGCAGGTAATGGTGCAACATACCTGAGCCCAAAGAAAGGTTGGAGGGTGGTTGGGAAAGGGCTGGGATATTCGTGTCCCACAACCAACTTAACAAGTGGAACAGTCTCTTAGGAGTGGAAGAAGGGATCTGAGAAAAGGGGCTGGGTGTGATCCTCTTTTGGAGAAGAAGATGACAAAAAGCTGAGGCCAGGGGCCTGAGTTGGAATTGCTGTGAGAGAGGACGTGGTCTGTAATTTCTGTTCTTTGTGTGTTCCTGTAGGCTGGGGCTGTTTCCCCCTTCGGCATGCTGGGCATGGTGAGTCCACACCTCTTTATGTTCTTCATCTCAGACACACTCTGTAACCTTCATGTTATTTCCAAATGTGCCTGTCTGGACTAGCCTCAGGGTAACCCTAGAGCCTTTCTGTGGTGTTTACAGCTGAGCGCTGAGTTAAGATGCTCACTACTATACTTCTAGGAGCCATGCTGTCCAGAAGGGAAGCAATTGCCTAGTAAAGTTGGTTCTTTTTTTTTTTTAAGATTTATTTATTTATGCATACAAGAACTGAGGTACAGGCCAGAGGTGTGGGGGGTAGGAGGATTCACCAGAGACAGAGTGGGGAGCAGAACAGGCAGACTGGTTGAATCACACTGCTGAGGGGAGCAGCGGGAGAGTCAGGAGAGGTCTGTTGCGCCATGTGGGTAGCTCCCTGACCAAGGGATCGAACTTGTGCTGCAGAGGCAGCTGTGGAGAGCTTCATAGGGTGCGTCTTAACCCCTTGTGCCACCAGGGAGGCCCCATAAAGTTGGTTCTTTTGAGGAAGGAAAGGCAGTTGAAGGACCAACTAGACAGTTTTTCCATTTTTTACAATTTTATGCCTAGTTCCTTAAAGATAGGAGGAAATGGGACAGTCAGGAAAAGGAAAGGTGGATTTGAGTAGCAATAGCAACCGGGAGGAGGGGGCAGCGCACAGGGGAAACCTAGTGTACTTGCTGTGTTACTGAAAAATGAGAAAGAGCAGTTGCTAGAGGTGCAGGAAGCTCAGAAAGGCAGCATGGAGCTGTGTGGCCAGCCGTGTACCTGAATGACACCCTCTCTGAGCCTGACTCTGCTGTGCTGACTCTGGTTTCCATCTCTGCTCCAGTCCGGTGGCTTCATGGACATGTTTGGGATGATGAACGACATGATCGGGAACATGGTGAGACTCGCCTTGTACCCTCCCCTGGCTTTGGTCTCGGTGGGATGGCTGGCAACACCTTGAGTCCTCAGAGGCGGGAGTGGGGAAGAGTGGGCTAGTGGAGGCACAAGCTGAACAGAGTAATTGAACCAAGAGCACTTCCTGTGTTTCCTCTTATGCCTGAGTGGAAAGCCGCAGGGACACTCATGCAACAAGGGCTCGATTGCTTGAGGTCCTTCTTATTATTGGACTCAGAGATTTGTAGGGTAACAATGAGTTGTGATATTCACTCAGTTTTTGCATTTTGTGAGAAAGCGATGGGCAGCCGAAGGGTGGGATCCCTTTTCCAAAGGGGATGCCTCTATTTTTAAGCCTCTGTTGTCCCCTTCCCTCTTCAGGAACACATGACAGCTGGAGGCAATTGCCAGACCTTTTCATCTTCCACTGTCATCTCCTATTCCAATACGGGTGATGGTGCCCCCAAGGTCTACCAAGAGACATCAGAGATGCGCTCGGCACCAGGCGGGGTGAGTTAGAGGGCTTTCCTTGTCCTGGAAAGGTCAGGATTTTGAATGGCATCCCCAGAGACCCTGGCTTTTTTTCAAGATCAGGTTGTGGGTGGTTTGTCTGTCTTGGGCTGATATAGCCAGAGCTTTGGAATGGGCAGCTAAGCCTGCCGTGTTTACCACATCCCAGATCCGGGAAACTCGGCGGACTGTACGGGACTCGGACAGTGGACTAGAACAGATGTCCATTGGGCATCACATCCGGGATCGGGCTCACATCCTCCAGCGCTCCCGAAACCACCGCACTGGGGACCAGGAGGAGCGGCAGGACTATATCAATCTGGATGAGAGTGAGCCTTCCTTCCCATGCGGCACCCTTCCCGCTTCCTGACCAGCAGCCCCAAGTCTAGTTCCTGTGACCTAGGAGATACCAGCTTTCTCTCCCTACCTCTTAGATATATGTCTTTTCTCTTTTATTGAAATCAAATTGGTCTTTGGGCCTCCCTGGTGGCACAGAGGGTTAAGTCGCAGCATTATGAAGCTATCCGTAGCCTCTGCAGCACAAATTCAATCTCCAGCTACAGAGCTACCCACATGGCACAGCAGACCTCTCCGGTCTCTCCCTCTGCTCCCCTCAGCAGTGTGTTTCAGTCAGTCCTCCTGTTCTGCTCCCCATGCTGTCTCCGGTGCATTCTCTCACCCCCCCCACCCCCCCCGCATCTCTGGTCTATTCCCCAGTTCTCATAAGCATAAATAAATAAATCTTTAAAAAAAATTAAAACCCTCGTTTAACACCAGACCCTATATTTAAAAAAATCTAATTGGTCTTATTAAATGCTTCATGAAGTGGGCAGAAGCCCATTCAGCAAGTAAAAAATTCCTTTGATATCTCTTGGGCAGAGTTAAGGGTCTGTCATTTTAGGGGCTCACTTAAGGGTCTGTCAATTTAGGGGCTGAGTTAGGTGCTGGTAATGTCCTCACCCCGGAGGGGCAAACTTGGTCACCTGAGTCAGATATTGATAGTCATATATCCTTCTCCATCTAGATGAGTTTTTTTTTTTCTTTTTTCTCTATTTTTTCTTCAAATCAAATACTTAACTACCTTAACTACCTTACATATGGAGCTATTATCCTTAACAAAATAATTATGCCATTCCTGATTTCTTTCACCCAGCTCAAATTGCTGCCCTCCCCCAACACACACTTTCAGCCTTCCCCCTGATTTTTGGTCTTAGAAGGCTGTGACCCCCCCTCTTGGCATCTGCCTCCAGAAGCCAGACCCTACATCCGTGTCATGTATGATCTCCTTTCTCTTCAGGTGAGGCTGCAGCATTTGATGATGAGTGGAGGAGGGAGACATCCCGATTCCGGCAGCAGCGCCCCCTGGAATTTCGTCGGCATGAGGCTTCAGGGGGTGGGGGACGAAGGGCTGAGGGGCCTCCCCGCCTGGCCATACAGGGACCTGAGGACTCCCCCTCCCGACAGTCCCGTCGTTATGACTGGTGAGGGCCCTAGGCCCCCAGCCTCTCTTGTAAGTATTTGGGGGGGGAACTATGAGGTGTCAAACACAGAAGGGGCCAGAGTGTATCTCTGCCATGAGGTGGCAGCTGTCCCGCCGCCCAGCAAACACTGCCTTGGACAGTATAAGTTGTAGTTGGTGTGGAAAGAGGAAAATGTTCCCCCTGGGCGAGGGGACTAAACCCCAACTCCTGGCTTTTATATTCTGTTTTCTTTTTGACGTGCTCCTCTTTCTCCCTCCTCCAGGTACAGGCTGAAAGGCTGAGAAATCATCCCCTGAAATAACTTTTCCCCTCCAACTCCCACTCCCAATTGAATATTAAATTAACAGGCAAGCTGGCACCCGCCGCTCCCTGGGGGTCTCGGGGAGAACCTTTCACTGCCCCCTTCACCTACTTTTCCTTCTTTAACCCCTTACCACCATGACGCCACTTCTCCTGTATCCGCTAACTTGATTTTTCATTTTGCTGCTCCATCTTTGAGCCTCCTCACCTCCCCGACTCTACCCCTGCCGTGCATTGATGGGCATTTGGGGTGAGCTCGGGGTTTAGGGGTCTGTACCCTCCCTTAGCTACCCTGGATTTTTTCCCTCCTCCTCAGATCCCTCGTGTGGGTTTTTGTGTGGAGGGAGAGGACTGGTTCCCACTCTTTCTCCCTCCCCACCCCTGCACATCACAGAAATCTCCCCTACACCCCTCTCTGCCTTTATTTTTTGATTTGTGCAACTTGTAACTAGGTGTTTATGGAATAAAGGAGAATGGAAAAAAGACCAAGTAGGATTCTGGCTTTACTTTTGATCTTTTTCCTGTTTGACTTCAATCCTCCTGTCTCCTAGTCACTTTCTTCTCCCTGTAACTTTCTCATTTCGAGTTCAAGCCCAGCCCCTGACTGGTGACGACTGTGGGACTGTCAGGACACCACAGGCAAGGGGCAGCAGAACTCTGCTGGGCTGGACTAGAGGTACAAAAATGTCAGCAGCTGTCTTACAGCCCTGCCCCTCCCTTCTGCTGCAACTTCTCTCTTCAGGGGGATGCAGGACATGTGGCATTATTTCATCAGTGCCTGAGGAATTGGCCACCCTGGTACCTTGGGCAGTTCTTCTCCCGACTGTGGAGTGGAATGCTTGTCCAGAACAGGAAGAGGCCCAGATAACCTTACGAGAGCCTTGGAGGGGGAAGGACTCGGGTCAGCAGCATTCTTCAAGCCCCCAGTTGAGAATTTGAGCCCAGGGAAGGAGCTCAGAGAAGATAACTAGGCTGGAACCCGAGCAGTAGTGGAAGGTCCTGGGGTGCTCAAGTTTCTTAAGGTGTTCACTTCTGCTTGACCTGGCTTAGCCAAGTGGGTCACGCTGTTCCTCTTGGGAACGTATTTCATGATGGTAAATGCATGTGAGAATCTGATGATGCTTTCCTGTTCATAAAAATTTTCAGTTGGTGAATCAAAGGCTCTGGGTCAAACACTCAAGGCTCTGGGTCCTTTCAGGGAAGGAAGGATTTTGCCCAGGTCATTGATGAAGAAATAGATCCAAGAGGTTTGTCCAGTTGTTCAATGAGCAGAGAGGTGAAGTTGAGCTCGACATCATCAAGTTGAGCTTGACTCTCATCAAACAGGGTGGTTGAAGGTGCAGGGCCAGGATTAAGGGGACCAACCCAGGGCTGAAAGTCCAGAAAGTCCCAGAGGCAGATGGGTGTAGATCATTCCTCCACCTGGGTTGCTGAATTATAGATGGAACTCGGGATCCACAGCCCTGTGCTTTAAGGGCAGTCTGCTTTGTGTAACAGCATGTTGCCGTCCTCTTGGAGTGGAGTAGCTTCATCCCTAAGGAGGCCACGAGGAGAAAAAGTGCTGGGGTTGAAGGAACCCAGAGACCCCTGCCATTCACCCAGCTATGGTCTTGGGCAGCTGAGGACCCTGGACCTCAGCTTTGTAGGTCCTTTCTAGCTACAAAACCTATGGCCAATCCCCACAGCTGGACTTCAGTTCTGTTGCCCAAGCTTCTGCTGTAGTTCTGAGTAGGAGCTGGGGTGGGGCAAGGGTTGTCCAGGTTTCAACCTAGATGAATCAGTCTGGCATTTTACAAGCTCTCCCTTCTGGGTGCTGGTTTTCAGACATCATAATTTTCACCCCTGCTTCCTGCTCTTGGGTGAACACCACCCATTAACTCAGCACTTCTTGGACCTGTGACTAGTTCTCAGCAGGGATATTGTGGGATGCTAGATGGATAGCTGCAGTGGAGTGAGGTGCTCAAGAACCAGTCCCCTGTGCTGTGTGCCCGTAGTAGGTAGCACACAGGTAGTAGGTAGGAGCAGAACTCAGGAGGAGACTGCCATTTTTTTCTCAGCTCTCCAACCTGGTCCAACTTCAGTTCACAGACGCCATGCCTTTAGTCTGTGGCCCAACAGCTGTCCGGAGTACATGCTCAGACTCAGATTATTTCCTCCATCCCACAAAATTACAGGTTGGATGAGACAGATACTTGGCAGGAAACTAAGAATTATATAGAGGAGCAAAATCAGGAATACAGGCTGGCATGAGCAAGGCCTAGCTCCAGTGCTTAGCTATGACTGGGAAAGACTCTTAATCTCTCAACATCTATTTCCCGCTTTGTAAAATGGGTCTTTCTAGGTACTGATGGTCATGGTGACATGGATTCAGACCCCAGGATGGTGAGAATTAAATTAGTATGGAGAAAGCATTTGGGATCTAAATGCTGGTTTCTCCCTAGTCACTCTCCTTGACTTATCCTCCAGTCCATCCAGGAGGCCTCAGCCCCCATTCCATCCTGAAATACCTCACACAATCCGGAAGCTGTCATACTGGCCTTGAATCAGCCTTCAGCCCTCCATTCTGCCAAGTACAAATGCCATCTTTCACCCTCTTCAAGCCTCAACTTCATGCACCAACAAGTAGAAACAAATTTTTGGGGCCACTCTGACCCAGCCCAACTTGGAATTCTTCCCTTTCTAGTGTGACAAAGGATCTCTGGTCTCAGTGACACCAATGCCCAAGTACACATAAACTGCCAGAGGCAGATCCACAAAAATCTCAGCATTTCCTGTCTCCCAGCCAACATATTCCAGGTCCATTTAACTTCACATACCTGTCCTGCTCTGGGAACAAGTCTGCAGGGGCTGGGGGAGACATGAGGCGAGGATTCCTTCCCTCAAGCCTTTCCAATTACCTAAGCATAAGAAAAAAGTAGCCTTTACCACTCTCCTCTTAGCCATCTTAGCTAGGACAGGTAAGAGCCAGGTAAGGCTGCAGGAGAGGAGGGAGGCACTGAGATAAGAACACCAGAGACCACAGGCACAGGGAGAAAAGAGCTATGTAGTTGGAACCCCTAAGGCAGATCCTGGGGGTTTGGAACCCCATCCTTGGGTCTTGGTGCTGGCATGATCTGAGCAAAGGGCACCTGAGGGGGCTGGCAAAGCTGACCCCTGAGAGAGTGCTGAGGGGACTGAGACTTCTCAGGCTATACCTCTAGGGAGACAGGAAGCAGGCAGGGCTCCCCATTCTAGACTCAGATCCTTCCTCTCTATACTGCTCCTGGCGTGAGCTGGGTCCACATTCAGTACCTCACCCTTTCTCTGCCTTTTATTGTTTCTTTCCTGAAAACCTTATCTTTTGGATGGGAAGGGGGCGTTGCTCTTGGATTCTTGAAGCATCCATCCCATCCTCTTCGTCTGCTCTGTTACCTGTCACCTGGAGACCTTGCAGGTGCTGGACAATTTTCTCCAAGGTCTTAGTGCTTTTCTGCCAGGAGACCAACCATCTCAAAGTCTGAGGCTGGGACACTTGGACACATGAAGCTGGAGGATGGGAGAGCAGGGAGCACAGGACAGGGACAAAGCAGTGGGATGACATCTAAAAGAGGGAGCAAGGGCCTCCCTGCTGGTGCAAGGGGTTAAGACGAAACCTATGAAGCTGTCTGCATCCTCTGCCGCACCAGTTCCATCCCCAGCCGGCCAGGGAGCAACCCACATAGTGCAGCAGACCTCTCCTGACTTGCCCACTGCTCCCCTCAGCAGTGTGCTTCGGTCAATCTACCTGTTTTGTTCACCACTCTCTCTAGTGAGTCCTCTCACCCCCCACACCTCTGGCCTGTACCCCAGCTCTTGTATTCATAAATAAATCTTTAAAATAAATAAATAAATAAAAGAGGGAGCAGCCCATGGTGGTATAGGGCTTAAGTCTCAGCGCTATCACAGTGATGGCTTGAGGTCAATTCACCAGACAGGGAGCTAACCCACGTGGTGCAGCAGACCTGTCTCGCCCACTGCTCCCCTCAGCAGTGTATTTCAGTAGATCCACCTGTTCTGCTCCCCACTCTGTCTCTGGTGAATCCTCTCACCACCCCCACCACCACCTCTGGCCTAGATCCCGTTTTTCTATGCATAAATAAATAACTAAATCTTTAAAAAAGAATAAAAGAGGGAGCAGCAATACCTTGGTCAAGGTGATGGTGAGGTGGGAAATGAATGAGAGTAAACAAAGAGAGTTTCTTTGGAAACACTGGTGGGACTTTCGGGGGTGGGGAATTCCCAATTTACTGGCAATGTGGCAGGAAAGGACATAAGCTGATTCCAATACACATGGATGTCAATCTAAGTAACCTGTATATGATATAAGTAAGTTCAGAGTAAAAAGAGGCCTTAGACCTCCCTGGTGGCGCAGGAGGTTGAGCGCCGCACTGTGAAGCTGTCCGCAGCCTCTGCAGCGCGGGTTCGATCCCAGCCGACCAGCGAGAATCACACACGGCATGGCAGACCTCTCCTGTCTCACCCACTGCTCCCCTCAGCAGTGTGTTTCAATTGATCTGCCTGTTCTGTTCCCTGCTCTGTCTCTGGTGAATCCTCTCACCACCCGCGCATCTGGCCTGTACCCCAGCTCTTGTATAAATAAATAAATCTTTTTTTTTTTTTTTTAAAGAGGCCTTAGAGATTACCTTCTCTGGATGTTGTCAAATGTGGCAGCAAGTCAGAATCACCACCCCTGACCTACTAAAGCAGAATCTCAAGATTAGAGAGGATTCCAGTGCAGCTTAGCAACGATTACACATCTCCAACAGGTTCCCCCCTTCCCCATTTTACTGCTTCAGAAATAGGTGACTTGTTCAACTTCATACAGCTACCTAGCAGGACACCAACAACCAGGACTCAAATCCTGATTGACATACATAATACTAATATGCTGTACAGAATGATTCGCCTTTAAATACAGAGTTCCTTGGTGATTTGATAGTTTTAAATTTATATTAAAAGTTACCCAAGTTTGGGAGACTCCCTGGTGGCGCAGGGATAAAGACGCAGCGCTATCAAGCTACTGCCAGCCACTGCAGCACAAGTTCTTTTTTTTTTAAAAAAAAAATTTATTTATGCATATAAGAACTGGGGTACAGGCCAGAGGTGTGGGGGGTGAGAGGGTTCACCAGAGACAGAGTGAGGAACAGAACAGGCAGATTTACTGAAGTACACTGCTGAGGGGAGCAGTGGACAAGACAGGAGAGGTCTGCTGCGCCATGTAGGTTGCTCCCTGGCTGCCCGGGGATGGAACTCATCTTGCAGTGTGGCTGCTGATAGCTTGATAGTGCTGTCTTTAACCCCTGCGCCACCAGAGAGGCCCTGCAGCACAAGTTCTATCCCCGGTCAGGGAGTTCTGTCCCTAACCAGGGAGCTAACCCACATGGTGCAGAAGACCTCTCCTGTCTTGCCCATTGCTCCCCTCAACAGTTTATTTCAGTAAATCCGCTGTTTTGCTTCCACTCTATTTCTGGTGAATCCTCTCACCCCACTCTCCACACCCCTGAACTGCACCCCAGTTCTTGTATGCATAAATAAATAAATATTTTTAAAAGTTACCCAAACAATAGCACAGTGTTTAAAATGATGGATGCCAGTAGCCATGTGTGTGTGTGTGTGTGTGAAATAACATTCAAGTGTGCATTATGGAAAATCAACATGTGTATATACTAGATTAAATCCAATTGCAAGCGGTTGAGCGCTGGGTTGCGAATTCGATCCCCGGCTGCTCGGAGGAGGATCCCACATGGTGCGCAGACCTCTCCTGCCACCCGCTGCTCCCTCAGCAGTGTACTTCAGCCCTTCTGCCTGCTCTGCTCCCCGCTCTGGCTCTGGTGAATTCTCTCACCCTCCCGCGCTTCTGACTGTGCCCAGTGCATGTATAGACAAACAAACAAATATAATAAATAAATAAATAAAAACATGCCTCTATAAAAAAAAAAAAAAATAAATCCAATTGCATTCTCCACTATTTCATTGTCTTCTTTGTCCCAATTTACCTCTTTTCCCTTCTGGTAACTACTAATTGGTCTTACAATCTAAAAATTTATTTTTTGCTTTATTTGGTTCATCTGTTTCCCTCATATATACCACAAATAAATGAAATCATACAGTGTTCCTTTGCTGTCTGTCTGATTTCACTAGACATTATACCCTCCAGGTCTATCCATGTTGATGCAAATGGCAGGTTTTCATCTTTTTCTCATAACTGAATAGTATTCCATTGTGTATCTATACCACATCTTCTTTATCAACACATCAGTCAGTAGGGTACCGTTTCCAGCTCCTGGGTATTATAAATAATGCTGAATAAACACGAGAGTGCCTATATCTTTGAATTAGTGTTTTTTTTTAATTTTTGTAGTAAATACCCAGAAGTGGGATAACTGGATCCTATGGGATTTCTATTTTTAATTTTTTGAGAGCTCTCCATTTGCTTTCCATAATGGCTACACCAATTTACATTCCCACCAACCTTGTATAAGGAAACTTCTCTCCATGTCTTTCCCAACTCTTGTCATTTCTTGTCTCTTGGCTAATAACCATTCTCACAGGTGTGAAGTGATATCTCATTGTGGTTTTGATTTGCGTTTCCTAATAATAATGATGGTGAACATCTTCTCATGTGCCTAATGGCCATCAGTATGTTTTCTTTGCAGAAGTGGCTATTCAGGGAGAAGTGTCTATTCAGATCTTTTGCCCATTTTTTAATTGGGTTTTTTTAGTTGTTGAATTTTATGAGTTCTTTTGGATATTAACACCTTTTTTGGTCAATGTTGTGCACATATCTTCTCCCATTCAGTAGATATCTGTTCATTTTGATGCAAGTTTCTTTCACTATGAAGGAACTTTGAGTTTGATGTAGTTCCATTTGTTTGTTTTTGCTTTTGTTTCTTTCCCACTGGAGCTGAGTTCCCAACACATCTAAGTTTGATGTCAATGAGAGTTTTGCCTATATATTTACCCCTATCTATTTTGTGATTTCAGGTCTTTAATATTGAATTAATTTTTGAGTATGGTGTTAAATAGTAGTCCAGTTTCATTCTTTTTTTTTTTTTTAAGATTTATTTTATTTTACAAGAACTGGGGTACAGGTCAGATGCGCGGGAGGGTGAGAGGATTCACCAGAGACAGAGCGGGGAGCAGAACAGGCAGACTGACAAAATACACTGCTGAGGGGAGCAGCGGGGAGCAGTGGGCGAGACAGGAGAGGTCTGCTCACCATGTGGGTTGCTCCGAGGCCAGCGGGGATCAAACCTACACTACAGAGGCTGCGGACAGCGTCACAGCGCTGCGTTCAACCCCCTGCACCACCCGGGAGGTCCCAGTTTCACTCTATTCCATGTGGTTGTCCAGTATTCTCAGCACCACTTAATGAAGTGACTTTCTTTGCTCCACTGTAAGCTCTTGGCTCCTTTGTCATAAATTAACTGTTCATAGGTGTAGTTTAATTTCTGGGTTTTCAATTCTCTTGTGTCTACAGTATGTTTTTTAATCATCTACTTTAAACAGTAAAAATTCTGTGTGTATGTGTACACAGTTCTATGAGTTTAACAAACATACAGTGTTACCACCACAATTAGGATCGGGAACAGTTCTGGGCCTCCCTGGTGGTGCAAGGGGTTATGCACTGCACTATGAAGAAATCCGCAGCCTCTGCAGCACAAGTTCAATCCCCGGCTGGCCAGGGAGAAACCCACATGGCAAGGCAGACCTCTCCTGCCTCGCCCATTGCTCCCCTCAGCAGTGTGTCAGTCAATCTGCCTGTTCTGTTGCCCACTCTTTCTCTGGTGGATCCTCTCACACACACCCCCTCTCCCCACACCTCTGGCCTGTACTCCAGCTCTTGTATGCATAAATAAATAAATCTTTAAAAAAAAACAAACCAGTTCCATCTCCTCCAAGCCCCCTCCTGCTACTTCTTGTAGTCATATCCTCCAGTCCTAACCCTTGGCAACCACCAATTTATTCTCTATTGCTGTAGTTTTACCAATGTCATATAATGAAATCATATAATGTTATCCATTTGAGAGTGTTTTTTTCACTCAGTTTCACTCATGTTATTGCATGTAGTAACAGGTCACTCCATGTTATTGCTGAGTACTATTCTATTCTGTTTTCCATTTGTTTATACATTCACTTGTCAACGAACAGTCCAATTGTTTCCAGTTTTTTCACAATTATGTACAGAGTTGCTGTAAACTTTCATGTACAGGTTTTTGTGTGAACATGTTTTAATTCTTTGGAATGAAATGGAGTGGCATTGCTGGGTCATGTGTTAAGTGCATATTTAACTTTATAACAAAATGCCCAACTGCTTTCTAGAATGATCTACACTATTTTGCATTCCCATCCACAATGCAAGAGTTCCAGTTTTAGTTCACATCCTCATCAGCAGTTGGTGTTGTCAGTTTTTATTTTATCCATTCTATTAGGTGGGTAGGTATGCCATTCTTTCCAATAGGTATCTCATCTTGGTTTTAATTTGTATTTCCCTAATGACTAATGATGTTGAGCATCTTTTCATGTATTTATTTACCATCATTACAGCCTCTTTAATGAGGTGTCTATTTAAATCTCTTGGCCATTTTTCAAAATTAGATTGCTTATTTTCTTACTGTTGCGTTTTCAAATTTCTTTATATACTAGAGTTAGAAATCCTTTATTAGGGATTTGCAAATATTTTCCCCATTCTTTTTTTTTTAAGATTTATTTTATTTGTTTATGCATACAAGAAC